AGAAACTCCAGAGATCCTCTGGTTATGCATCACAATGAAGGCAGGCTTTCCTATTTAGCACAAGATTACCTTCTTGTCTGAAGGCCCATCAACAAGCTGGCATACTGATTATGCCATGATACAATATCCTCACAAGAGACCGTACTTTGGCTGATGACACTACCAATCAAAAGCCATTATTTGGGGGACAAGGCACCATTAAATCCACTATTACAAAATAGAAAGAATATAGGTTACCCACAACATTGCCTAGCAAGATGATCCACCAAAACTCAGTTACCAGGTGAGGACAGCATTAGTCAGGGAAGCAACCAAGAGACCCATGGTAATTCTGAAGGATTTGGAGAGGTCTGCAGGTGAGATGGAAGGAATTGTGGGTGAGGCACAGAGACAGCATGCTGTGGGGATGCTTCTCCTTGGAAAGTTCTGGGAAACTGGTTGGTAGTGAGGGCAAGAAGCATGGAGCCAAACACAGGGCAACTCTAGAGTTTCACTCCACAAGAGACTTAGAGCTGAGATGCAGGCATCTTCACAGCATTCAGTACATTGTGTACATCAAGTAGGAACAATGCCAATTAAATCTATTTCCATTCCAGGTTCTAATACAACAAAATGTGGAAAAGTCAAAGGGGGCTTGAATACATCTGCAAGGCACTTATTTTCAAGCTATGCCCCCTAAATAACCAAGGAGGCAAGTCTGACCCATACAGAACCAAACATTCTTAAGGACCTTGATGAAGAGAAGCAACTGCTCTTGAATAACTTGACAGAGAACTGCAGCTTCATCTTCTCCTATACACACAGTATTTTCATGCACATAATATCTAATTCTCTTTCTCTCTAATTACAGTATTTCTGAGTTACAGCAGTATCTTTTTACGAAAGGAAAATGAAGAGAGAACTGGTCTAAATTACAACTACATTAGAATTTGCAGAATTACACTTAGTCATTAGAATTCACAAATTGCAACTTTTGTAGGATATTCAGGAATAAATTTATCCTACAATAAATTCTGTAGGATATTCAGGATGAAATTGCAACTTTTCTAGGATTTTCAGGAATGGGGGCAGCACCCTCAACTGTGTCCCTCCTCCCATCTAATTTTCAGTGGATCCCTCACAAACAAACACATTTCTACAATCTCCAGGTCAGGGTCCATGAAGGAAAGTTATTTGACAGACACATCATCACTGTGCACTTTTTCAACCACTTGCCTTCTAGATCACACATGCACAAAAAGGGTAGCAGGACTCTGCACCCTTTCCTCCTCTTCCTCCACCATCACTGTGCAATTCTTGATGCAGATGTAGCGGCAGAAGCCACTCACAACAGCCATGTCAGGCAAGGTGTCGAGGGAGGCAATTCTGTCTGCCTGTCCTGTGTAGTCATGTTCAGCAAAGCAGAGACCAAAGCAGCCAGCAGGCGTATGTGGTGCTTCGTATGTTTTGCTGGCATGTTCTTGGAGTTCATCTGCTTCTGCTTCCCCTTCCTGTGCAAGGGGTCGCTGCCTTGGCTACGCCTGCTGTGAGCTGCCCTACTCTCTACCCACCAGCCCCAATGGCCCAGTGGCCACCAGCAGCCACTGAATATATTTAAATAGTTAATTCTGCCATTCCTTACAAGGTGATTATCTCAGCATGGACTCTTTGAATATGCTATTGCCTGACTGGAATAATATTTCACACTGGCCTTCATGTAACCTTTAAAACAGACTCTAAGGCTATCTTTGAAAATGATGATTCCTCCTCTTTCCTAGTAAAGGAAAACAGAGAAGTAATTGTTGCTTACGTAGCTTCTGAAGGGGACGTGGTTATAACTAATTCCTGTAATGTTCAGCATTTGCTCTATATCCACAAACCACAGCAATCTCCATGGTTTGTGATTTGTTTTGGTTCTGCTTGTTTTTTGCTTAGTTGGAATATGACTTTGGCTTTTCTTACAAGAAGCTTCCACAAGAAGGAAAGAGGCTTGCTCTCATAAAGACTCCATGGCAATTCTATTCTATACCTACCCTTGCCTCCTAGTTAATGCACTAAAAACATTGCTTTAGGCAAGCATTATAATCAATGTCATCTCTACAGGACACTGCCAGTTTCTTTTCATTTTTAAATTAAAATTTGCTTTAGGCAAGATTATAATCGATGTCATCTCTACAGGACACTGCCAGTTTCTTTTCATTTTTAAATTAAAAATTTCATTTTAAATTAAAATGCCACCACTATAGCATATAGCAAAAGAGAGGGGAAAACACAGTCCTAAAATATTTGGGACTGGGAACATAGTGAGCAACAGACACAGGCAATGGAAAGGCAGATGAAGCAGAATGTGAGGAGGGCACAGGCCTTGGACCGCAGAATGACAAATATCCACTCACTGGTACACAATTCACAGAGGACACATGAATCATGTGGAAGCTGAAATGCAGTTGGAAGTCTACTATCCTGAATGGTGACAAAGAGATTAGAAAACCTGAAATAAATACTTCTAAAGCTGCATTTCTGACTTTCATACATGCAGGAACAACAGAAGAGCAGCTCTAACTATGAAAACTAAGTTTGGAGAAGTCATTTGGGGAGTTGTCTAAGTGAGCCAAAATCAAAAGCCCTCATCCTTTGCTGTCAGAAGCTTGAGTGTAGCTGAGGCCTTGAACTGAATCAGATAGATGCATATCCCTTTATGTCAGTGGCCCTTCAGACGTCATTGGCCAACAACCTCCAGAAACACTAACAACTGGTCCTGCTGGCTGGGGCTAAAGGGACCTGGAGTTCAGCAACTTCTGAAATGCACACTCCTGCCCGAAAGGTCCTAGAAGTCTTATCAATCAATCAGTTTCTTCCCAAAGTTCCTCCCCAACCCCAAAGAGCTAGGCAGCAACATTGATCACCTGGATCAGTCCCAGGTAGCCACAAGTAAGTTACAAGGATGCTACTGGCTGAGCGAGGCAGCCCATCATTTTTCTTGCTGCCTGGACAAGCCCTTTCCTTTCAAGCAGACCAGGAAAAATTACTTTTTAACTAAAGCCTTGACTATGTTAAAAATGACCAATGAGCTAGGCTGACTTTGTGATATAGAAACAGAGTATAGCAGAAGTGAACAGCAAACTCAGAATACTTGTCAGTTAGAGAAATGCAGCTGAATGACATGAAGTTGATTCTCAACGGAATCCCCCCTCCCTTCCAAACCAAAATAGGTGATGTCGTTTTCAAGATGGATCATTCTGCTTACGATTCAATTGCACAGGACATCCAGTGTTTCTCAACTGGCCTACCCTCTTAACCCAATGCTGTATAATTAGACAGTCAGCTCCACCTCTCTTTCATGAATGAGCATTCTGAATCAGTACCAGTAGCTGGGCTCAGTAATGGACTGGATAAGGGCCAATAAACTAAGATTCAATCCAGACAAGATGGAGGTGCTGTTGGTGGGTGGGTCACCTGCTGAACTGGGAGATAGTCAACCTGTTCGAGACGGGATTCCACTCCCCCTAAAATACAAGGTTCATAGTTTGGGAGTGCTCCTGGATCCAGAATTGTCGCTTGAGTCAAAAGGGGACTCAGTGGCACAGAGAACCTTTTAACAGCTCAGGCTGATATGCCAACTACAGCCCTATCTGGACAGATGGAGCTTAGCTACAATAATCCACACTCTGGTAACCTCTTGGTTGGACTACTGTAACACCGTCTGTGTGGGGCTGCCTTCAAAAAAGGCTTATCTCTGGGTCAGAATCTGAGTCAATAACCTTTGAAGGTTATATTATGGAATCAGTGGGTCCAATACATACTTTGCCTCTCAAAAGCCAAGCATAACAGCAGAAACCATACTTATCTATGCACTGGTAACAAAACCTTTTAATGGACTGAACAATAGAATAATCTCACAGCTTCTGACATTTGGGACGTCCCTTTGCCAGCCCATGCTTTTAAGCCACCATCACTGCAATTTTAGCATCATTTAAGAATATAGCAAAATGGTCACAAAATATAGTTGGCTAGTTAAACATGTTAATCCTGAAAGACTACAAAATTTTAACCATGCAAGATGTTCTAGCTAGAATTCCCTCCTCTATCTATCTATCTATCTATCTATCTATCTATCTATCTATCTATTTATTTTCTGATTTATAGCCTGCCTTTTTCCTACAAAGGGCTCAAGGCTACCAAGAAAGACATGTTGAACTGGCCATGTGAAAGCTACTAGAGTCTTTAAATGTACTTCTCAGCCACATGATTGTTATTTCTTTCTACATAGAACTACTGACAGTAAATTGAACTGCATCCTAAATTATTTTCAGCTGGTACACTATCTGAAGCAAACTATTCCAACAGGGAAGTAAGGTATATTTTCCCCTCCAGGTTACAAACCCTGGGGAGTAATTCACAAAGGAGACTGATTATCTTTAACAAAAACGGAGGCCAAACCAGATGATGAGGAGGGATTACTGTGTCATTTCCTTACCTACATGATGCTTGCAAATAATAACAGTAAGGTAATCTACCAGTAAAAATAATTTATACTTCAGCATTTGTGTGCTGCTTTGCAATCATCCACAATACCTCACTATTTCAGTAAATGACTCTGTAAGTAGTCTACACAGTGAGTGACCTTCAGGACCAGAGCTACTGAATTTCCTGCTGACACAGAAATGCATTAGCACAAGGCACTATTAATATATGCTAGTAAGACATATGAAGACAAAGCTCAGGGAGCGAAGGTTCCATTTGGATGCCAGGAAGCACTTCCTGACAGTCAGGACCCCGAGGGTGTGGAATGGGCTTCCACAAGAGGTCGTTGAGGCCCCATCGGTGAGGGTGTTCAAGGATAGGCTGGACATGCACATGGTGGGCATGTCATGAGCAGAGCTGGCTGGAGCCGGGGGTCAGACTAGATGGCCCAGGACGCCTCTTCTGACTCACTCTGTTTCTATGTTTACTGGAATCAGCTACAGAACAACCCTGTATCTTTATGAACAGCACAAAACTAGAAAGAAAATATCACTCACCTTACAATACTCATCAATGGGTATAAGACGCTTGATAGCAACATCACGGATGTGACTCCGGCGGAAGAGGATCTTGCCTGCAATAGAAGAAACAAGAAAGAGCAATGTCAGTCATGATGAAGAAATGTTGGGGGGACTGAGGGCTGCCTTCCCTCCTCTGACCCCTCCATGAGCTGGACAACACCAGCCTCTGACATAGTCAGGTCACCAGCTAATATAATGGGTGGAGCTCAGTTGGAGAAACTGCTTCACACTGCACAGGTGGGGAAAGCCCAGACCAAGTGAATCCAGCTCCGCAGCTGAGGCACCAGCTGGAAGACCCCTTCCCCAGCAAGGGTCTCAACTGCTGCAGGGAAGGTGTGGGGGAGAGAAGCAGACTCAGCAGGGCACTGAAGCACCAGCTAAGTGTGCACTGCCATCGCTCCTTCCTCATCTTCCAAGTGTGGGGACGGCAAAGGAGAACCAAGGCAGATTCAGGGGGAACTCCTCTAGGGGGTCCTGCCATAACACTCGTCACTGTGAAACCTTCCTGAAAACAGGCTCCATGCACGTGCAGGGTTCACGCACAGTTTATTAAAAGAGAGAGAGAGAGAGAGGGAGAGAGAGGGGCCACATTCACGAGAATGCATCTTAACACTGTTAGAGACTTTGCTGAAAGTTATTCAGAAAGCTTGTCTCATTCATCTTTGCATTGCTTTCCAACATACAGTGCATCCAGGCAAAGCAGAGATTGGCTTTATGACTGGAATGTCTGCAAGTCACAGGGATGGACTTTTGGCATCCCTACTTTTTCTTACTCAAACTATATGCTACATTAATTACATAGCATTCAGTTCCCTTTTTTGCTTTACTCTGAAAATAACTATGTAGGATCTGATCCACACTGAGGCTACTGTGCACGGGGATAGAGAAGGGGATTTCATTCTCTTTTCCTAGAACCTCCCTCCCCATTCTTGGAAATGCAATTAAAGAAAGAAAGGAAAAAACAGGGGAGGAGACACAACTGCAGGAGCAAAACACCTGTACAGTACATTAATTCTCTGCCTGTCGTCCCAGTACAGTTCCAGCCTAGCAAAGCAGGGCTCCAAAACCCGAGTGCCTGGGGACAACCTAGGATTTGAGTACACGAACAGGAGCTTCCAGGTGTTCTGCAGATGAGAATCAAGGACTTGACTCTCCAATCCAACTCTGCTGGCAAAGTGGTCCTCCAGCAAGACCAAATTTTAGCCAGAAATCCAAGCCTTTTCTGAGTAAGGAACCAGGATGACACATATATTGTTTGCTATAAACACAGGGAGGAGATGAATGAATAAAAAATAGGAACCCATTGATGGAAAGCAGAATTTTTGGTTTTGCCACCTTGTCAGCATACCAAAATTTAAATTGCAGATGGGCTCATTGTAGTTGGCTCACAGATGAAGAGAGTTATCTAGGAAAACCATATACTGTTTAGATGAAGCCAACAGATGCTATGAAAATATAATTATAGGACACACATCTCCAGCATGAAAAACTTAAGTGATTATTGCAATTCATTGCCTAAGCTGACAATCAACAGCCTCCTTCCCACATTTTTTGTGATCCAAACAAGAAGTTTATCATCTGGTAATAAAAGCTTATTATATCAATATTATATACCTAATTAGTAAAAAAATTATCATGTCTTCAGGCTGCTAGAAGCAGTTATTAAACTCAAGTATTCATGCCAGATACTGTAACAGAAGGGCCTACTATTTCCAGCAACAAGGAAAAGGTATAGTATTAGAAGCTGCAATATTTTGCCTCTTTCTCCCTGCGGAAAGGACACACTTATTTAACAGATTGTAATGCTACAGAAATAGCTAGGGTTTTTTTATTGATTGACATTACAGACTCATTAAGTAGAATACTCTCATTAATTGGCAAGCGGGGGCCATGAAGGCCATTAGATCCAATCCCCTGCTGTTGCAGGACACCAATTTACACCATCCCACTCGGATGACTGTCCAGTTTCACCTTGAATGTCTCTAGTGTGGGAGAACCCACCACCTCTCTAGGAAAATGGCTCCACTGTCGTATTGTTCTGACAGTGAGGAATCTTTTCCTGATATCTAGCCTGAATCTGGGTTGTTGCAATTTGAATTGATTATTCCATCTTCCACACTCTGCTATCTGCAAGAAGAGATTTTGTCCTTCCTTTTAGCGACAGCCTTTGTGGTACTTATAGAGGGATATCATGTCCCCCCTCAGTCCTCTATTCTCAAGGCTGAACATGCCCAGTTCTCTCAGCCTCTCCTCATAGGGCATTGTTTCCAAATGGATCATTGTTGCTGCCCCCCTCTAGACCCTTTCTAATTTTACTGCATCTTTCTTAAATCTTGGCGCTCAGAACTGGACACAGTATTCCAGGTAAGTAAGGCTGACTAGTGAAGAGTATAGGAGAACTATTAGTTTTCATAATTTGGAAGTAATACTTCTGTTGATGCATCCCAAATAGCATTTCTGTTGTTGGCTCATATTTAGCCTGTTTTCTACAATTACTCCAAGGTCTTTTTCTTTTTCACTTCTGTTGAGCTACATATTCCCCATCTTGTATCGATATATTTGGTTTCTTTTTCCGAGGTGGGAGAATTGGCACTTGTCCTTACTGAATCTCATTCTGTTGCTTTCAGCCCAGTGTTCATCAAGTTTGCCCTGGATCTTCATTCTATCCTCCAAGGTGTTCACTGTTCCACCCAGCTTTGTATTGTCTGCAAATCTGATTATCTTCCTTATAATTCCTCATCTAAATTAACAATAAAGATGTTGAAGGGCACTGGGCCCAAGACTGAACCCTGTGGCACCTCACCAGTTACCTCCCTCCAGTTTGAGAAGGTGCCATTGATGAGTACTTTGTGTCTAATTTAGCAGCCAATTTTGGATCCACCTAAAAGTTTTTTTTATCTAGTCTGCTTTTTGCTAATTTGCTTACCAGCACTACATCGAAAGCTTTGCTAATGTCAAGGTAGATTATATCCACAGTGTTTTCTCTGCCTGTTTGGGAGCTCACCCAGTCAAAAAATTAGATTAACTTAGTCTAACAGGATTTAAGTTTGATAAATCCATGTTCGCTTTTATTAATCACTGCATTTTCTTCAAGGTTCTTGCAAACTAATTTTTAAATAATTTGCTCCAAAAATTTTCCAGGGATTGATGTCAGTGAACAGCTTTCGAAAATAACTCACAGTGGTTAATATAATGACTTGACCAAATAAACCTACCACACACATTTTGTCATTTTTAGCCTAGAATGTTTAACAATTAAATGTTAACTAATAGGAAAATAACTGTTGGTTGGAAATTCATCTGGATGGAAGAAACCGTCATCATCCAGGACAACTTTAATTGTCCTTGTTGAAATAATTACTTACAATACTTTGTGCTTTGTCTGAAGGCACTATGGTCATACTTTCAAGCCCTTAAAGTGATGTAGATGAAATATTTTTGGTAGAAGATTTTTTTCTCTAGCTATTGTTACTGAACTGGACTTTCACTGTGTATCTTGTGCCTCTCTTGACCAATTTGCTGTTTTTTTGCAGGTTATTAAAAAATCTTCCCTTTACACAGCAGACTTTTTAAAGGTGAGAAAATTACAATCCTTACTGGGGATGGAGATGGGTAGAACCTAACTAGCCACGGCTTGTAGCAGGGTTTAATAAAGCTACTATGGCTCATTGTGTGGTTTGAACCCAGACAATAAAATAAGCCATGATCAAGTCAAAAAATCAGAGAGCCCCTTGGCAAGAACAATATCCAAGGGGCTAACTAGTAACAGCCTTTCCCAGGGACCCTAAAGTGCCCAAGCAACACTTGGGGACAGCTGGGAAAGGCAGTTCATAGCCGGAATTCTGAAGAACAGCTGTCCATGGCTGCAGCATTTTGTTAAAAGATCCCATTTATGATACTCTGCTTGTTTAGTTAAATTCTATGGCATGAAGTGCCACGCAGAACCATTCAGAATTTACTCTAAGGTTGAGTTCACACACAACAGAAAGCAATATTGCAGAGTTTCCACCATATGTACTTTTTTGCCCAGATGTGTCTGAAAGATCATCAGACTCATCATGGTGACTCTCCTCCCATCAGCCATTTTCTTCCCTCTCAGTCTTCCAGGCAGTCTTCCAGGAGGCACAGCAGGGAGGAATGAGGATCAGCTAACTTCTTGCAGCTAGCCTGGATAGCTGCAATTATGAGCTGGACTTGCTGTGGCTGTCAAGGAGTCTCATGCCCTGAAGTGCAGCTGAGAGGACAAGGAGCTGGTTAGTCACCCTCCCCTCCTGCTCCAGGGGGATTGCTCAAGCAGGAGGGGTTGCCAATGTACGCTCAAGCAAAAGGGAGGAAAATCCACTGCACAGAGTTGAGGAAAGGAGCAGCGTCACTCAAGGGAATCCCCCTCTACCACTTCCCATGCACTAGGATGAAAGATCCCGCACGTCTCTTCATGAGACAGCAGTAGGTACAAGAAGCAGCTGGGCAGCAGCAATGAGTGAGGGGCAGCACTGGTACTCTCTTTCTCACTCTGGCTTGCCAAAGAGATGTTCCCAAGCTACCCCCACAAAGCAGGTTGGGGCACCTCTCTGGCAAGCCAGGGCAAGAAAAGGAAGCAGTGGGGGAATCCACTACAGTGCACAGCTCCAACAAGGCCCACCACCCAGTGGATTCCCATCACACCTACTCGTGCAGGAGCAGCCGTGGAGGCCTAGACTGAGTGCTGGTGCTTTTCTCCTAGCACTAACTAGATCATCCTCTCCTGTTCCAAAGAAGATTGTTAGGGCAGGAGGCAGGAGGTGTGGGGAAGCCTTTGACAGCTGTGTCAAATGGCAGCTGTCAGTGATGTTCTTTGACTGTCCACTTGGCAAGCGTGGCAACAGGCCACTCTTCCCAGGTGCTCTATGGTGGTGGCCTTGGTACCACACTGAGTTGTGTTTTCTGGTTCAGAAGGCACAACAAGCAATTTCAGTACCAAAACAAAACCATAGCACAGACTGTTGTTCCAGTTCATAGTTTCTCAGAACCAAGGACAGCTTGCCAGATTTCACAATGAGGTTCGGATGATGCA